GTTTGTGGCCACCACTGCCTGGGCCTCCACTTTATTTTTTTTTTTTTGAGAAAGGGTCTCTTATTGACCTGGAGTTTATAAATTTGGATAGGCCTGCCAGTGCTTCAGGGTTCCATTTGTCTCTGGCTCCTGTCCCCAGAGCTGGGATTAAACATATATCACCATTCTTGGACACACACACACACACACACACACACACACACACACACACACACATTAATATGCATTCTGGGATCAAACCCAGACCCTTACTCTTGCACAGAGAGCACATTCCCAACTAATCTCTCCCCAAAGGGCAGGCTCTTCTGCCTTTGTGCTCTGTCCTTTCAGTGATGCGTCTTCCCATGTGTCTCTCCTTGGCTCTAGCCCTGGGTGCTGAAGTGCTTTTCTGTGTCAACAGCGCTGACTTCCCCAGGGTGGCATCAGGGTCCTGGGTATGATATGCTGGGGTCACTGAGCAATTAGGAGTGTGGCTAGGAGGCAAAGAGACTTCCAAGCCTTTGGCCGCACTGATGAGGGAGTAGAGGAGCTGAGCTCATCCTCAACCCATCTGTGACTCCTGAGGGACCCTGAAGGCTGACAGAGCAAGGGTGGGGATGCCGGGAGCTGCAGCCCAGCATTCCAGAAGCAAAGCGCTGACAACCTCTGGCAGCTGTATCACTTTGGGTATATGTTTGGACTCACTTTTTAGGGAAGGCGAGGAGAAATTGGGCTTCAAGGAGACAGAGGGACCATGGGATGTCCGGGGACTCAAGGTCAAAAGGTAAGCTTCAGCTGACTCATTATTCCCACTCCCCTGTCTCCTCCCATTTTCTTGCCTGTTTCCTCTTTCCTACCACCTCTCTCCCCTCCCGACATGTTGTATATGTTAGTTCCTCTGGTTGCAGATGAGCCTTCAGCATTCATTTACTTCCACCCATAATGGAAGTGTAGCCAGAAACAAGGAAAGAGAGAATGCCAGACAACATCTCTCAGGGGAGGCAGCCCCTTCCTGCTGAGGAATTAGAGTCCCCGTTTCTGCCTTTGACCCCGCAGTGACGGCTGTTTAATCTTTTGCAGGGAGTGAAAGGATTTGCTGGAGCTCAGGTATTGTATTTCCTTCCCAGTCAGCTTTGCTCTCCTAGCTCGGGATTCATTTCCTAGCAAGCACATGTCAGACCCCCCCCCCCGCCCCCGACGGCTTTGGTGCTGTCACCTGTGATGCCTGACTGCTGACTTGTTCCTCAGGGAGACCACGGAGAAGACGGGCTTGATGGGCTGGATGGAGAAGACGTAAGCCATCTATCGGTCTCTTTTCCCTCTGCGTTATCACAAAGCCATCATGAGACTGATTTTCCTAAATGAGATTTTGTTTTCTGTTTGTTTAGGGATTCTATGGACTTCGTGGGGGAAAGGGAGAAAAAGGTGACCCTGGCTCTCAGGTAACTCTTCGGGCATCAAGTAGTCCCTGGTGACAGATCCAGCCTTGTTTGCTGCACTGGCATTTGGGGATAAAACCGACAGCCAACTTCTCCACCATCTTCGTTACCTTTCTTCTGGCTGTGACCAAATGGCCTGGCACCTCCTGGATGCCCCTGGAAAGCAGCTAACAGGAGAAAGTGTTTACTTTGGCTCACAGTTCAGAGGAATAGTCTGTTTTGGTGGGGAAAGCATGGGGGTTGGAGGGTCTGTTTCCTGGCTTTAGCTTATGCTTCCAGAAAGATAGAGTCCTCACGGTGGGGAAGGCCTGGTATGGCTGCAGGCGCAGGAAGCAAGCTGACCAGTTAGCCACGGGTGGGAAAGAGAGTGAGTGGGAAATAGGGTGAGAGTATAAACTCTCAAAGCCAGCCTCCAGGGATGTGCTTCAGCAAGGCTCCACCTCCTAAAGGTTCCTCCCCAGGCAGTCCCTGCAACCGGAGCGGGGGCAAGAGTTCAAATATGTGAGCCTCTGAGACATATTTCCCATTCAAACCACCATAACTACTATGCGATTTTCACATTTCCAGCCTGAAAACCTTACTGTGTGAGGTCTTTCTGTGGTTACGGTTTTTCAGAAGTCTGTAAATGAACATGTTCAGCCATTATTATTAACTTTTATATTCTTTCCTGATATCAAGTACAAAGAGAATGGAAAAGTTAATTTGGAGACCTTGGGAGTTATAAATCATAGTGAAATAAATACTTCCCAACAGCCGGTATTTTAAATCATCCCAACAGCCGGCACTATCTTTTTGTTCTGACCTATTTATTTATCGAACATTTTTGAGCATCTGTAACATACTTAATGATTTGTCAAGGATCCAGAGATGGGGTGGAACGCGTGTAATCCTCATCCTCAGGGATCCCACGGTACACAGAAATGGTGGGGCCACTTGGGGTCAGTCCTTCTGGGTCCAGTCAGCTTCATGATGGTAAGAGGAGACTCATACAGTGCCAGTGAGACATTAGGCTGTGTGTGTGTGTGTGTGTGTGTGTGTGTGTGTGTGTAGCTTGGGAAGGATTTAAGCAATCAAATCTGTGTTTCAGAAATATTATTTGGAAGTAGTGCAGGGACTGCTGGCATTGACATGGGTATAAGGAAGGATGAGGGGTGGGTCCCTAGCGATTGAGGTGAGGTGGGATGCAGACTTCAGGCAGAGTGGTCACAAAGAGAATGACATATATAATATATGAATATACTATTATTAATATTAATATAACATATTAATATAATAGAATATATTAAGGGCATGCAGGGACCAGCCTGGGTGCGGCAGTGGGCACATGGGTGCCAGAAGCCACCCTCAGGTTGTGCAGAACAAGGCCTGCCTTAGAGTTGCTCCCTAGAAACCTCCTCTGTTCCATTATAACCCTGGCTCAGGGACAAAGGCTCTTCCAATGTAGGGGAGCAGGAGAAGACGTAAGCCATCTCTCTGTCTCTTTTCCCTCTGCGTTATCACAAAGCCATCATGAGACTGATTTTCCTAAATGAGATTTTGTTTTCTGTTTGTTTAGGGATTTTATGGACTTCGTGGGGGAAAGGGAGAAAAGGGTGACCCTGGCTCCTTTTCCTGACTGACCCGGGGGAATCAGTCAAAATGCCTCCAGGGACCATATCTCAGGCAAATTTTTAATGGAAAGTTGTTGGAGGTGACAGTAGAAAACCCCATAGGTCTGTATGTGATTGTTTAGATTTAAATTCAGTGAAATAAAAAAAAAATTTACCCTTCCATCTCACTAGCCACATTTCAAGTGTTGCCAGTGAAAGATGGCTAGTGGCCACCATGGAGTTTTTTCCCATTGCTGTGGAGTTTTTCCCAGTTGCTGGAAGTTCTACTGGACAACCCTATGCTTAGACCATGAGAAGGTTTCTTGCTTCGTAGCCCAACTATGGCTTAAACTTGAACTTGGGAAGTCTAAGGGCACCTGGAGGAGGCAGGAGAAGAGGAAACTTTTTTTTCTGGTTGACTATCTTCCTCCATGTGCACTGTTTGACATTTCACCCCATTATATAAGCCACCTACGGGGGGCTCATTTCATTTATTTGTTTGTTTATCTGTTTATTTATTACTAGGGCAGCCCAGGTCTCAGAGGCGCCCCCGGAGAAGATGGAGAGACAGGCTTTCCAGGAGATCGCGTAAGTTACCAGATCCCACTTCGCTCTGAATTTTATCTCAACAAAACTGTTTTCGTTCTCCTTAGTTCTCCCCACGAAATATGATGATGGGGGCTGGGCAGAGGTGCTTGTTACCCAGGGCTTTTTCATTTTGGGGTAGGGGAATCTGTCCAAATCTGATATGGACTGAGTATTTTAAAGGCTCAGAATGGAGTATTGAGTTCTTATAGTGTGTTGATGCTTCCAAGTCACCATGGTGAAAACTCCCTTTCTTTTATTTGTCAGATTCCTAACCTTGTGGACCCTGAGCTTGATTCCTTTCTTGTTTGTCTGTTAGTTTAACAGCACTGGGACTCGAACCCAGGTCCCTGTGCCAGCTGTGCAAGCACTCTCCCACGAAGCTACATGCCCACTGGGATTGTCTCTTCCAGACTCAGGTGGAAAAGGCTTTCATTCCGCATCTGAGGGAATGGCCTGATAGCGGGCCAGTACGTCAGCAAAGCCACACTGAGGGGAAGTCACTGCATGGCCTGTTACTCTTAGAATACTGCTTCAGTCACCAAATCATCTTCAAACGGGGGCCGAGGTTACTTCTGAGAGCCTTACGTTGAGGATTTTTCTTACACTCACTTCATCCCTTAGCTTGAATTAGCTTAGTGTCTCTCAGCCTTCCTAATGCTGTGGCCCTTTAACACAGTTCCTCATGTGGTGGTGACCCCCAACCATAAAATTATTTTCCTTGCAACTTCATAACTGTTATTTTGCTACTGTTAAGAATCATACTGTAAATATTTTTGGAGATGGGGGTTTGCCAAGGGGTTGCAACCCACAGGTTGAGAAATGATGAAGGCTAACCCTTAGATATTACTTAAAAAAAAAAAAAAGCCTAGTGGTGCAGTCTTGTAATTCCAGGTACTCAGACCCCAGAGGCAGGTGAATCTCAAGTTCAAGGCAGCCTAGGTAACTTGGTGAGACCCCCATCTCAAAGATCTGTCAGTGATAGAAGATTTGCTGAGTTTAATCCCATGTGTACCACACAAGGAAGAAAAGGGAAAAAAATGAAAGCCCGGTGTGGCACACACCTGTAATCCTAGAACTCAGAAGGCTGAGGCAAGATGGTCACAGTGAGTTCAAGGCCAGCCTGGGCTCTGTAGCAAAGCTCTGTGTCCAAACTGGTGAATTAACTAACTCCCTCATTCTGGTGCTTCTGGATTCTAACCATTTCTGAAATCATCTCCTAGGGTAACCCAGGACGAGACAGCATGGTCAAAGGCGAGAAGGGCACCAAAGGAGAATGGGGAAGACAAGTAATTGCATCTATGTTACATAGCTAAGTTGACTAATCTCATTGTCGAGTGAGGTAAGTTTAACAAGGTGTATTAACAAACACTCACTAAGTCATCCATAGTTAAAAGGGAAATAAGGTATGTCTGAGGCAGGCTGTATGTCTGGGGGACGTTATCGATGTTCTGGGAAGTGATGATGTACCTCATTTGTCGTCATTTACTCGCAGCGTGTTGCTAGCCCTCTCCTGGTTGCTGCCTCTGTCCCTACTGGCCATCTCACCAACAGGGACACTATATAGCATGGTTCCAGCATGACCCCTTTATCTTGCTGTCGTGATGGCATTTGCTGCTTTATGCCGATGCTCTTTAACCTGCTCAGGATTTATAATCAACCCACTTTTGACCTTTGTTTTCTTTGTGTTTCTAGGGGAGAACTGGGCAGAAGGGGACAGAAGGCAGCCCTAGCTCCAGAGGAAGCAGGGTAAGTATGTACCAGACATTTGTTTCCCACCGTACCACTCGTGATGGACACAGAAAAGTGGAGATCATCTCCTGGTGCTGAGAGAGCAGACCCGTGGCTGGTGCATTTGCAGGCGCCCTAAATCTCAGCACTGCTGACCTTTTGGGCCTGAGAGTTCTTTCTTAGGAAGGACTGTCCTGCACTTCGTAAGAGACTTCTCAACACTCCCAAGCTCTACTCATCTGCTTACCCACTTGTGACATCCGAAAAGGTCTTTTCCAATACTGCCAAATGTCTCCAGCGGGTGGGCATGGGAGGCAAAATCATCCCTGCCTGAGAAACACTGTGTTCCAGACTGCCTTTCCCTTTCTTCCTTCAAGGTGGTTTTGAATACCTTTGAAGAGAGCCAATGATTTCAACATACACATTCTCCACTCCTGACTTAGCATCTGGGAGCTATGTCAGAGTATTATGGACTGGATAGACATAATCTCATGCTCTTTATACATTGACAGTGGGAGAGGAGAGCATGAATGGCTTCTTCTTGAATGGACTCCCAGACACTGGCTATTAGAGCTGACTCATTGGAGGCCCTGGGGTAGCTGATAGCATCATGTGATATCAAGGCTACCTCCCCCAAAACAGGACGTTGGGTTTCCTTCCATTTTTAAGTTCTAACCAAGAAACTACATCACCCTTTGTGAATTACTCAAGTTAGAGTTGATATTTATTATTATTTTTTTCTGGGGGGAGGGAGAAGAATCCTGCTACGTACTCCTGGCTGATCTGGAAGTCACTATATAGAGACCAGGCTGGCCTAGCACTCATTATGTAGATCAGGCTGGCCTTTAGCAGGCAGAAAATTCTCCCACCTGTGCCTCCTCTGTGCTGGAATTACAGGTGTGCCCCCCCCCCCACACCTGGCATGGAGGTATCATTCGTACCGAAAGCTTCCCTGTCTCACACTCAGCACAGACGAGATGACAGAAAAGAACGTTCAGAACCCTGGATCTGGCCCTAATTTGCTCAGAGGGAAGGAAAACACTTGGCTTTCTTATCTGAGTGTTGGATTGTTCTCATCCCTTGAAGGTAGCAGCCTGCTGCCCCTTTCCCGGGGAACAGAGGTTCCATCCTAGCTCATCTTGCCATTGTTTATCCTGAATATCAAAGATCCTAAGCCAGAGGGGCTGGGCTTCCCTTGCTTTCGGGACCATTCCCTCCCAACTCAAGAGGGTTAAGATGTAATAGGGGGACGCAGCAGAGCAGTGAGATGAGCTAAGTGTTATAAATTTTAGAGAGAAATAGATCTGTTGGCTCAAGAGAAAGGGGTTTTTAGTTTGAAATAGGTTTGTAACTGACACATAAATCACACACTTTCAAAACAGAGAAGTTAGGGAGTGGGGGAGATATTAATCCTTGGGCACACTAGTCAATACCTTTTGAATTACCGTAAGACAGAAGGACCCCAGCCCCCTCCCCATTTCCCTGCTTTGCAACTTATTTTTCTTTGGAGTTAAATAAGGCAACATTCATATTCATGTTCACAGTCAAGCAACCTGGGGCTCTTCTGTCCTCCCCCACGTTTCCAATGTAGGCCAGAATTCTGTCATAAGATTCAGAGCATCTTAAGTGGATAATAGATTGTTAACAAGACAGCTCAATCCCAGGCATGGGCTCCTTGTGTGACTGAACTTTGACTTGTAAAAATTAATCATCGCAACAGCTGTTACTAACACAAGGCTCAACGTGCTGACAACCACACAGGAGGCCGCATCCCAGACCAGAGGCCTTTTGGTGGCCTGCTTGCAAAGAGTCCTTGTGACATTTGTACTTATGTCATCCATTTTGTACCAGAGCCTCATCTAATCATTTTCAAATACTCATGTAGATAAGCCTCATAATACTCCTGCCAGGAAGATTATTTTCATTGTATCCATATTATGACATGAACAAATCAAGGAGACTCCAGCAACTTGCCCTAGGCCACAATAGCTAGTAAGTGACTGGGCTGGGATTTGAGCTCAGACCATCTCACTTTAGAGTCTGTAGTTCCTGACCACATGCAATTTCTTTGGGCCTCCTTGGTTTTAAATAAACAGTGGAGCCGAAGGCAAGAGAGTGTGCTTTTTCTAGGGCTGTGCCTCTAAGTACAATGTTGTACAGCACTATTACACAGAATAAACTTTGTCCCGTCCAGCGGGAGTTCAATGAGTTCCTAAGGAGGGGCTAAAAGAATGGGGTGGTGACAAGAGACACGAAGAATGAGAGCAAGTCTATAGTCTGATCTCGCTCTTCGTTTATTTGAAAAATTTCACACAACTTTATAGGGAGAAGGCAGGAAGGGAAAATATGTCAGCAATATAGTTTACAAAACATAACAGGGTGATTAATGATGATGCAGAACACCGCAAGGATGTTTCCTAAAAGAGATACTGCAAGAATGTCAGCTAAGATATCTCAAAATGTCTAGCCTGACAAACAGATGTCTCATAGGTTCTGGAAACATAAATCACTCACCTACGACCTTGCTGCAGCTGTCTGTAACTTTCCACTAGCTGGCCTTGGCTCCCGGCAATTATTCTTCCTTCCAGCCTATTTCCTCTACCCACCCTTTTTTTCTTTTTTGAGACAGGGTCTCTCTCATCGTGCAGCTCAGGCTGCCGTTGGGCTTACTTACATGGACTAGACTAGTTTTGAACTCAAGGGCTTTGTGCCTTGGCCTCTCAGGTGATGCAATTACAGGCACGGGCCACTGTGACCAACTTATCCTTGCTTTGGATTTTTACTTGAGTGCGTATGTGCACTTGCATTCAGGTGCTCACGGAGGCCAGAAGAGGATGTTGGGGTTGCAGGTAGCTGGTTGTGAGCCACCTGGTAGGGGTCCTCTGCAAGAGCACCAGGCACAGTTAACCGGAAAGAAACCTCTCTAGCCGCTATCATTGCTTTTTAATGGAGACGGAACGTGAAGTCATGGCAACAGTATCCACCTTTGCTGGCTTTTTAATCTTCTCTATTTTCCTATGTCAAGAGCATCAACTAGTCATATCCAGAGACAAACAGCTGACGAGTTACTATGGGTAACTTCTCCCAAAGGGTATTTTAGAAGTCTAATACCTGGTGAACCTGATATTTGGGTGATTTACCATAAGGAACTGCAGGAGGTGGGCAACTGAGAGAAAATGGCAGCTCTGAAATAAAGCCTATATAATAATTGAATAAATGCAGTTTAAAAAAATGAGCCTGGCTGATTATCACAATACAATATGAATTGAGAGTGCCCCACAGTTTCCTTAGTGAGAGTAATAATCAACAGATTTTTATCACTGTAGATCTGGGAAAATAATGTAGGATCCAGGTCCCGAGGCGTCACCCATCTTGGCTCTCCTCTGTCCCCGGTGCTTGCACTGGTGACACGAACTCCCTTCCAGTTATAGATGCAGACAGTACTGAGGGACCAGCCTGACTTTATTGTGATAAACTTGGTCAGTAGCATCTAGATCACACAAGGGAGCAGCTACCACCGGCCATTTCCTCCCTGAGGAATCCTCTAGAGCCAAGCTTCATGGGGTCCGCGTGATGCACCACCACTTCTAGAAATCTCTCTCTGTCTTCCATACAGCACACAGCTGTATGTGGGTTTGCAGGGAGGGAAACGGTTTCTTCGGGGTGATCTGGACCTCCAAATAGCCCACTGGATGATCATCAGGAGGTGTCGGAGTGGAGCGGAGGCTGCAGCAACTTTACAATGGGTTGCCCTGCACCAGTCCCCTAAATGTTAGTGTGTGATTAAAACACCCAGTGTGAAAGCCTGCCCTGCTAAGGCCCCCGTGAACCTCCTATAATCAGGGAATGGGAGAGACTGGTTTTCCTTAGGGACAGTCCTTCTATCTGGACACACTGACTGATGCTTTGCTTTTGGTGTTTTAGGGAGTGGAAGGCCGGAGAGGGCCCCAGGGTCCCTTGGTAAGTATTCTTTTTACTTCTTGTCCTTTGTGGGAGGAGGCTGAGGTCATATCTTCTATGTAAATAATGCTGGGCAAATGGCATTTGACAGGATGTTGTAAGCATGCCCATTCCTGGACACGAACCCCACTGGAAAACACAAGCAGCTATCCAATAAGTCAGCTTCCAGAAATAGGACAGGCCTAAGGCAAAAACCTCCCCCAGAAACACCTCCCAACAAACAAATGGAACATGCACATCCCCAACTATCACACCCTTGACTGACTCTCACACGTGTCAGGAACCAGCCTGTGAGAAAGTAAAACTCTTGCTTCTTCTTAGCTTATATTCAAAAAATTATAATATATATATAAACATATATAAATATATATATAATATATGTATATATTTTCCAGGCATTCCTTCCATACTTTTCTTCTTTTAAACCTGCTTTTAATTAGCATGCAAAGTATTTGGTGTCATTATGGCATTATCAAACAAAATTTGTGTCTTAGTTACTGTTCTATTGTTGTGAAGAAACACAATAACCAAGGTAGCTTATAAAAGAAATCATTTAATTGGAGGCTTTCTTATAGTTTCAGAAGGTTAGTCCATTACCATCATGGTAGGGAGCATGGCATTGGAGCAGTAGCTAAGAGTTTCTTCCTGATCCTAAGGTAGCAGGCAGAGAGAGAGGGTGAGACTGAATCTGGTGTTTAGAGACTTCAATGCTCACCCGCTCAGTGACACACCTTTTTCAATAAGGCCATGCCTCCTAATCCTTCCCAAACAGTTCTATCATGTGGAAACCAAACACGCAAAAACATGAACCTATGTGGGCCATTCTCATTCAAACCACCACAACTGATTCTTTTTGAATCAATTGTCCTTTGCATCCTCATCTTTATGAGAATTAGAAACATGAGTTCATTCCTGACAGTTGGAAAAATAAGACCCCAGGCAGTATAAGGGGTGAACCATGGCAGACAAAGCAAATGATCTCTATGAGAGCCATGCAGAGAAAATCTTAACACTGAAAACTCTTGTTTATCAGGGAAAAGCAGGTAACCTGGGGCCTCAAGGTGCACAGGGACCCGAAGGACTACAAGGCCCACAGGTATGATGGGTATTACATAAATGTGGGCAAATGGTGTGGAGCCATTCTGGTGGGAAGAAGGCAGGTAGCTCTCAGTACAAAAGCACACAACAGAGGGGCTGGAAAGCTGGCTCTATGGTTAAGAGCACATAATACCTCAGCAAGGACCAGAGTTTGATGTCCAGCACCCAAGTGGGATGGCTCCCAACAGCCTATAACTGCAGCTCCAGAGGATCTGATACCCTCTTCTGGCCTCCCTGAGCAACTGCATTCATGTGTGCTGACACACACACACACATAATTAAAAACAAAAAAATAAACATTAAAAGAGATATACAACTGGTAAAAAAATTTCTATCTGAAACCATCATCTTGTGTATGATGGGAGATAATTCTGAGTTTTGATTTTGTTCCATCAAACCTGCTCCAACATTTGCAGCTCATAAATGACCCATGAGAGAGGAAATATGCGGTCTGCCCTCACCTTGCATTGTGCCTACATACTGGAAAGAATGAATGATTAACAGCTCAATAATATATTATTATTATTTTTCACTGGATGGTCATCAGTCAGTCCCCCAAATGCTACTAGTGGCACGGGTGTCAGAAGTGAGGACATCTTCCCTGTCTTCTCTGCCTGGAAGAAGCCATGGTCATTTTGGGGGGATGTCTTTGTCACACCTGGGTATTGCCACTCTGTGGCTCTTACTCTGTGTTGAGCTCACCTTAAATCTGGACTTGTCCAAAAGAGTCTGTGTAGAAACGCCAATTTTCATGCCTTTCAAGGGCCTCATTTTTCTTCTAAAAATTTCCAGATTATTAACTCTAAACAAGTTTGAATTCTCTTGATTTTTTTTCTGAGGTCTATTGACCCTGCCGAGTAACTATGGGATCAATCTGGATCTGTCTGGGTGCTGTTAGGGCTGGGTGTGGGATAGCATCATTTCAGATGCTCTGGGGTCCTTTAATGCTTAGTGGCTTGAGGTTCAGTGATTTCCTGTTAGGCAGGAACCAGTCTCCCCAGCTATGCAAGAGAACTATGTGAGGCCCACACATGAACTATGGCAGAGATAAACTTTGATTCAGTTGACAGACATCTGCCACCGTGTGTTCTTTAGTGCAAATTTGAAACTTCCATTTCCTGTATTTTAAACATTGAGAAAGCACGTTGGTCCAGTGAGGTATCAAAGAGTTACATTCGATGATTACTTGTGTCTTCCTTTCTCTGCAGGTTTATTTTCCCCCTTTTAATCTATTTTTACTTCTTCCTGTAGAAGAAGGATGAAACCCTTATGCCCAGGCAGGGAATCCTTAATATGATCTGTGCCACTCTCTGGGCTCATCCACAGTTATATTCTTCTAAAAGAGACTTAATCTCACAGCAGTAAGGCTGCTTGAAGGGGTAGAGCATTGCTCTGCCCTCATGGGGGTGTCTCAAAAGCATCTACTAAGAGACTGAGTTTCATTGACATCACATTGAATTGTTGTTGTTATCACAAAAAGGGGTCGAGCGGAAATCGTGGTGGGAAAGGAGAAAAAGGAAGTCAAGGGTATCCGGGACCTCAGGTGAGTGACTTGGAGACATTGGGGCAATGACTCCCAACCTCTAGTTTGCTCTTACTGCAAAATGCCTAAGTGTGCAGTGTATTTTATGTCATCTACGAAACATTTCTTTTCTTTTTTTTTTTTTTTTTGGTTGCTGTGGATACATTTTTAACCAAGGTCAGATCCCTCAAACCTAGCTGACATACCTAGCGATCTTTTACCCTTCAAGTACAGACTCACTCCCTCAGCCCGAAGAAGCATTTGGAAGACTTAAAAATGCTGCCAAATGATAAATATGTCCAAACCAAATGAGTCATTCTTCTTGTATTTTCCTCTATGCCATCTATCTGTCTCTCCATTGACCACAGACATTTGACAGTGCAAAAATACATGCTTGCACAATCATGTTTGATTTCTAAGTCCAGTTTTCTAGTTCAGCATTTGAATGAGTTTTCCAAGTGGGGAATGGGAGTTTGTTAGTTGACATGATTGTAGTGAGGGTGAGGGGTTTGTAGCACTTGATTCTATAGAGTTCTTTAGTTCTGCCACTGAGAGCTCAGGATGCAAGAAATGCCTGAGCGTGCTCCGTCACATCTTCCAAGCAGGTGGGTGAAGGATGCTTAATGCCCAGTTTTAGATTGGGAAATTGAAATATACCTTGTATGCCGTGATGGATGCGTCCATAGTTCTGTGGGATGTGAATGTGGCAGTGATATATTTTATTCTAACATTGCAGATCGTTTCCCCTCACTTGGAAAGAATACTGGCTGAGTCAAGGAAGCCTTTTACCCCCCTGGTCCCCAAAGGGCCCATATGCACCAGTGAATGCAGAGCCATGATCCTGTTACCTAGATTACCTTCTGTCCCCAGGCATCTCCTGTTAAGGAGGCCTTCTGGGCTATTGGAAATGATGTGGAGAAGTGTCCTGTTCCTAATGACTTCCCAGGAATTGCTGCAGTGGTGGCTTTTTCATCTTTTACTCTTTTTATTTCTAGGGTTCTCCTGGGCCCATAGGACCTAGAGGGAGCATTGGAAGACCTGGATTTGGGGGGGAGAAAGGTAAACATTATTTTTCATTGGTTTCATGTAGTGGGAACAAAAGCAGCAGTGTTTTCTCCTGAGCTGTGTGCAAATTCCTCATATGACTCAATCAATCCAAGCACCACGCTCAAACCACCTGCTTCCTGCTAGAAATCCCTTCCTCCTTACTTCTAGGAAGCTGTCTTAATTACAGGGAAAGACAGTTACCTGCCTATCACAAAACACTGCTGAGAATTCTCTTCAGCTCCTGTATTTCCTGAGCAGGAATGCATTCGTTGACAAAGAAGGGTGGAGCAGAAGTATTTGGACTTACTTTGCTCTGCCTCCTTTGGCCTCACCCAGGCTTGCCATGGCTAATGTAGCTGTGGTGGAGATTTCCAGAGTTCCCGCTGGGTTTAATGCTTTCTTGTCGAGGCCTCAAAACTCTTTCATATTTGAGCCAAGGACCTAAGCTTTCTTTCTTTCTTCCTTTCCTTTCCTTTCCTTTCCTTTCCTTTCCTTTCCTTTCCTTT